AAGAAACCTTGACCTTGACCTTGACCGTGATAATATCTAATGAACATTTTAATGAATTTAGAGTCTATCCCATTCATAAAGGGCACCGCAGCTAATAGAAATTAGCCAGCTAGCCAACAATAGCTACAACCCAGTAACTTTAGCAGATATTGTATGGGTGCAAATTCCGGTCATAAATATTTTAATATTTTAGAATCACACTGATGTCTTGTTTCCAAAACTGAGTTTTCAAAATCAAAAATTAAAAGTAGATTGAATAGTGTTCTCTAAAAGAAAAAAATTACTAACTTGAATTCTTGTTGAAATATATAATGCCTTATGCTGATTCTACAAATAATCAGACATTGTTTCTGCACAGAATTATCCATCCATTATCTTTACCCGCTTCTTCCTTTTCAGGTCACTGGGGTCACTGGTGCCCATATCCAGCAGTCACTGTGCGAGAGGCAGAGGACACCCTGGACAGGTCTCCAGTCCATCACAGGGACACAGAGAGACAAACGAGACAAACAACCATTCACTCTCTCACTCACACCTAGAGACAATTCAGAGTTATCAATCAGCCTAACATGCATGTTTTTGGTCTGTGGGAGGAAACTGGAATACCTGGAGAAAACCCACATGCACTGAGAGGTGCACACTCCACCCAGAAAGGCCCCCACCAGCCAGAATTTGATGGGATGACGTTTACACTGAGAGGCAACAGCTCTACCAACTGCGCCACCGTGCCGCCCCAGATTTGTATCAACACTTGTAAACCTCAGTGATTCGATGTAATTTGAATTGTTTTTGTTTGTTTTGTGTTCTTTTACCAGCAAGGACCGTCCACTGAAGCAGAAATGATACAGTATCAGGTTTGTGGCGTTTTGTTGTTACACTTACACAGTTTGGCCAGTAGGTGGGAGTATAGAGAATCACCTGTATGGGGGTTGTATGTGGAAATTTTAACACATGCCAGTACATACATTACACAACAGCATTAAAAAAATAAAAAAAAACACAGGAAAGGAATGTGTTTGTTTGGGCAGGAGATATGAGAGCAGCACATATTAAAAGAAGAATGGCAAGAAAAGTCCAGTCAGCAGTGATGATAGTGTAAGACTAGACAGAAAACAACACAGCCAATGGGCAGAGTTCGATTTTACTGGACTACACTGAAACAGAGACATGTTTATAATCATCCCACTATGAGCAGAACTAAAGAGCTTTCTGCTCTCCAACCTCACTCGCTTTACTTCCATTCACTCTTCATTGTTTTTTTAAACAAAAGGGCCACTTTGCTTTCTCAGTAATCCACAGAGAAGGAGAGATTCACTTAACAGTAGAAGTAGGACAAAATAAAAAACATCTAAGATTTGAGGGCTGATAGCTTTCAGAAAACACAAACGTAAGCAAGAAAAGCCTCTCGGGGGGATCATCATTTTATGGGAAGCACATGACAAAAACGCAGGAGTGGCTTGAGGTTCTCATAAACTTTTATTATTAACATAATCGTCAAAGTGACATTTTTTACTATAGTGTTTCCTAATGTAAATTTATTTCCAAATAATTGGACTTGACTCAGAAAGCATTCTCTGTTATTAGGTTTGTGTCCATTGACAGTCTTTGTGCAAGTTATGGTTAACATTTAGGCGTATCATTTCTTTGTGTGTAAATGTGATTCAGTCTTTTTCATTCAGATAAAAGCTTTTACACAGATATTTGGAAAAATAAACTGATAAATAAAGTCTAGAATTAATCTATCCATTCCCTTTCTTAACCTGCTTTCTCCTTTCTGTGTCCTGGGGCTCCAGCTATCATTGTCCATCACAGTGACACAGAGAGATAATTTGATGCTCTTACTCACACCCAGGGAGGATTTAGAGTTACTAATTAATCTAACATGCATGTTTTGGTTTGTTGGAGGAAGTGGAGTACCTGGGAAAACTATACAGAGAGAACATGCACACTTGCTGTAAGGTGACAGCGCTAACCACTGCGCCATCGTGCCGCCCGCCATACATCATGTAAAGTAAAATATAACTCAAGATACACAAAGTAAGGAGACATAAAGCACAAAATGTCTTTGACCAAAGCTTGCATACGTATTTTAATCAGTCAGTCTTTACATTGTATGAGGCTCAAAGCTGAGCGTGATGGCATTCAAATAAGAAAACATTGAAAATAAATTAATGACAGATTTGTTTGACATTTTCTGGCAGCACGTACAATAAAGGTCCTCACAGAAATGCTTCATTTGGACATATTTGTGTTGTAGCATAAACAGAGACACCTACTGTACAACTTTTGATTTCATCGATGAATTCAGAAAGCACACATTTCAATTCCCTTACACGCAGGAATCTTTACAAATGGCAGAAGCTTGTCTCAAAGCAGAAGCTTTAGGCATTTTAAGACATAAGACATCATTTGAAGCAGCTGCAAGTCGTAAATATTTAAACATGGCTACAGGAGAGCAAACCCATCAGCAGCAGGGTACAGTCCATTGTGGCCTCGAGGTTTGATAAAGCCACAGGTTGGTGTTTGCCCTGACATCAGGCATGTTCATACAGATGATTTTTCTCAGGCAGTGTGTGCACGTGCGTACACAGGCGTTCAAATGCCCAGCGTGGATCTATGCGTGTGCATGTCCACTTGCTTTTGTTGTGGTTTCCAGGAAAGAGGTGTTTTCTGTGGTTCAGCACCTAACATGTCCTGTTGGTTTCTCCAAGAGCACGGTGTTATCTTGACAGACAGTCACTTCAGTTGTGTTTTTGGTAACAAGAACTGAAAAGAAAGAAGTTCGCGCCGAGCTTAAAGTGACATCGGTGTTCCACAAAGGAACACCTTAAATGAATTATAGTGTAGAAAACAAAATGTGGGCTGTGTTTATCTTGCTTCCATCAACACATTTTCCTCTCTCGACATTTCCGCTCTTCCGTTCGTGGCAGCTTGCCCTGCCTGATGCTATAGCTGATCTCATATTGTATGTCAACACGTTCTTGCAGAATCTCGCTTCTGTTTATTTACTATGTGTTGAATATATACAGGCTGTAAACAGTGTGTTGGGATGAAACAGAACACAGATTACCGGTGTCATTTGAGCATGCCTTTAACAAGACCAGCTGTTGTCTCTAAAAGCCAGAAACACTCAGCTCGTGTGCATCTAAAAGCCTTCCATTTCCCTCACTCTTTCTCCCTAACGCTCAAATATACAGATAACACAACACACTGAGCCTGATGGATCGATGTACCAGCAATAGGGGCACTCAGACGGTTCCTTGGAGCATTATAATTCACTCGGCTGAGCAAAAACTCCAACCGTCTATGAATCTCCGTGCATGCATTGGGCTGTCAGCAGGTCGTAGCTGTTTTGCCTTCATTAGTACACGCCATTTCTGGGTTATGGCTGAAAACTGCTGAACTGAATGGGGATGTCATTGTCGTGACACCCTCTCAGACCTACCCTGTCTCCTTTCACCATCAACCTGCTGTTACACCCTGAACTCTTCAAACAATAAAGCTGCCTCATGGACACACACGCCTGTCTGTGAATACTTTAAATGGATTGTGATCAAAGCAACGGCACCTCTCTAAATATAGGGATACAATGAAGTCAGTTTAGTCATAAAATAGTATTCATATTAGTGCATGCTACAACTTTAATGGACATGCAACTTCACAAAAGTGACAGTAAAAAGGAGAATCCAATTTATGTCTTACATTACTGCATGTCAGTATCGTAGACCAATAGAACGACTGCTGAATTTGCAGCAAATTGCGATAAAGATACTTGATACACTCCAAGATATTTGATTTTATGTCATCTCAATTGAAATATCTAGATTATTGTTGTATTTTTTATGTTTCCAGAAGCCGACAGTTGTACTAATTTAGTTATATTGCTTAGTGCGAGGGGGGAATTAGGCATGGCGGTCTAAAATGACGCATCAATTTGATTAGAAAAACTTAGAGTTTCAGTGATGCACCACTGAATTCTATAAGCTAGCTTATTGTTTCTTAAAGTTGGACAGCAAAAAAATACAAAGGTCACATTGCAGGAAAATACTGTAGTTTCAGACAAACATTCGTTGAATTCCATCTTTGGTTGTAAGCATTTCTGAAAATCTATGACTTTCAGCATTAACACAGGTGCATCAGGTATAATAACAAACTTTTCTGCAAAGATTTTTTTAACCATGTTCGCTTTGAATTTAAAAATACCAACAAAAAATTAAAACCCACAGTAATCTTGTTGTAATATGGAATGATATGAAGTCCTGGTCAACAATGCTTATGCCTGACACTAACACTTCAATGGAAAGAAAACATATATTTCATTCAACGTAGTGCTTTAACAATTCAAATATAAAATTAAAACATATAAATATAAAAAAGGAGTATAAAAAGCCATAAGAAATCAAATGAACCCATCAATAAACAAACATGCACAATGTTCAAAAAGACATTTTTTAGTTCACCTGCTTGTCAGCATTTGATCAAGATAAAAAAGGCAGACTTTTGGCTAATGTTTACATACAGTATATTCTACTGTAAATCCATGTAAGCCTCATTAAAAAGACACGGCAGGTAAAGATCATGTGCTGTTTTGGTCCAGATTTGCAGCCCACCACAGCCTTTTTAATGCTGCTTTCCTCTAAATAAATTCTGCAAGGGCTGAAAGAAGCTAAAGTGCACTCATAATTCTTATCTGACAAAGAAATTGACAATTGTTAATCTGACCAAAAACATATTGATAGAAATCTCTGTGTCTCTCTGTTGCTCAGCTCAAGGTTTCCCTAACAGAGCAGTGGCGATCTTGGCGATTGTATCCTTTTCTGACTCAGGGTTGTGGCAGTTAAAGCAACAGATTAAAGCTGCTCCTGAATGGCCAGATTTAATCACGAGCTGAGAATTTCTTAAGAAAGATCTGAACCTATTGCCATTGTCCATCTTCTCTATAGCAGTTTAAATAATTAGATAGATGATAGTGGTCCCTTTATGTTGTTATGACTGGTTATTACTGGTTTAGCTACTACTTGGCTACCGTTGCAAGCAGGACGACTACTGTTATAAACTGATGTTATGTGATTCTAACTCCATGCAGACAAAATGTGCTAAAGACAAGTGGCAGTTTTACAATATGCACTGATTAGTCCACAAGATGTGGGACAAAATGAGGTCTTCTCCATAAACCCTTTCTGCAAGGTAATTTTCCACCCCCTCTGTTCGTTGCGCCTGTACTGGATAGCATAATTCTTCAGCAGAGGGAAACATCCATCTATCATTCAGCTTAAGTCTAAGAGGATCATCTTTCACGGCTCATTTTATACATCTGTGCGCATTTTAGTGATATTTACATAGTTAGTGTTAGCCAGTGTGCAGTTTCCTGTTTTCTTGCTCTCCGGTCTGAAGTCCTCTGTGCTGTGGTTCACAGTCTCCTGGATCTCCACATAGTCGGATTTGCTGAGAGTGGATCCACTGCCACTTCGTCCACTCTTCTTCAGCTCATCAGCTGAGCTGGCTTTAGGCACGCTTGGGGTGTTTAGATACTGTGCCTGTTCCTCACCTTCAGTCTCTCTGTGGTAGAAGTAATTGAAATTTGACACAATGACAGGCACAGGCAAGGCGATAGTCAGCACACCAGCAATTGCACAGAGGGATCCCACAATTTTTCCTCCAATGGTTGTTGGTACCATGTCTCCATAGCCAACGGTGGTCATGGAAACCACTGCCCACCAAAAGGCTTCAGGGATGCTGCTAAACTGTGAATCTGGCTCATCTGCTTCTGCAAAGTAGACAGCACTAGAGAAGAGGATTACACCAATAAACAGGAAGAAGATTAGGAGGCCAAGCTCCCGCATACTGGCCTTTAGAGTTTGTCCTAGGATCTGGAGCCCCTTGGAGTGGCGTGAGAGTTTAAAGATTCGAAACACTCTTACAAGACGAATGACACGAAGGATAGCCAAGGACATAGCTTGCTGGCCTGTCTGGCCATCCTCTGGCCTCTCTGCAAGCTCTGTGCCCAGGGTGATGAAGTAAGGGATGATAGCCACAATATCTATGATGTTCATGATGTTACCAAAAAATCCAGCTTTGCTTGGACAGGCAAAAAACCTAACAAGGAACTCAAAAGAGAACCATATGATGCAGAGGGTCTCCACAATAAAGAAAGGCTCTGTAAAATATGATGAGCTGTCATACCTAGCAGTGACGTTGGACTTCAACTGAAAGTGATTGTTGTAAGTCTCCCTATCTTCATTTCGGAAAAGAGGCAGTGTCTCCAGGCAAAAGCTGACAATAGAGATAAGAATCACCATAACAGAGATGATGGCAATGATTCGAGCTGGGCCTGAACTCTCTGGGTATTCAAACAGAAGCCACACTTGTCTCTGAAACTCATTCTCTGGCAGTGGTCGCTCCTCCTCTTTTATGAAACCTTCATCCTCCCTGAAAATTTCCATAGCTTCCTCCCCCAATTCATAAAACCGAATCTCTTCAGAAAAAATGTCCAGTGTCACGTTGACAGGGCGACGTAGCCTCCCTCCCGATTGGTAATAATACAAGATAGCATCAAAACTTGGACGATTGCGGTCAAAAAAGTATTCATTTCGGAGAGGGTCAAAATATCTCATTCTTTTTTTGGGATTACCCAGCAGAGTCTCTGGAAACTGGGAGAGTGTCTTGAGCTGGGTCTCAAAGCGTAAGCCTGAGATGTTGATGACAACCCTTTCACAACATTCGTGATCCTGCTCAGGGTCATATTGTTCATGAGGCTGACCTGAATGCGCCGCTGCTTCATCTGCAGGGTCGCTGGTGGCAACCGTCATGGTGGAGGGAGATGAGGCCTGCAGCTTTCAGACAGGGTGGGGCCACGTTGGGCCACGAGGATCTAAAGACTCCACACACTTGAGGGCTCAGGCACAGGCAGATCTGCCTGCAAACAGCTACGGGGACAGAAAGGAGAGCAAGGCTAATGTGAATACTAGATGCTCCATGCTGTTTTGTATGCAACAAAATCTTTACCATTCATATTTATTGCTTCATAGAATATTTAGGGTAAGTCCATCCAACAGTTTTTGATACATTTATTTAAAACAAACCCAAAAAAAAAAAAGAACTGTCACTATTTTTCAGGAACAATGTTATGTAGAGATGTTCCTGCAAATCCACAAAAACAGAACAGCTGAAAATAACTGGAGGTTAGGTTAGGTTAGGGGGACTGTTGGAGCCTCATTGGCTCCAGTGGGTCTATGAGTATTAAGTTATGAGTTCTCTCTCATATGAGCACCCTGCAGGATCAATATGCTAGCCACTAATACTGCATCCACTCTCAGAGGGTGCAATTATAGCAAACAGATCTGATTATATGCTGAGTGCTCTATAGAACCTCAGATCTGGTTCCTCTCTGTGTGGTTGTGAACAGGATTCACTTCTAAAACATAAAGAAATTGCATAAAGTCAGCTTAGATATTTAGTTTAGTTTTGTTAGATTATTTAGGAAATTGGGTCAAAACATCCCTGATTTGCATACCTTGCATTTACATACTAAATCTGCGTCTTGTTGCTTTTCAAACGTTACATCAGAACATATATACTGTAAAATCTAAAGCTCACATCTATTCTGGCACTCATGAGGCTTGTTTACAAAGTATTTCCTGGTGGAAAAACTGGCCCAGATTAAATTCAAAGTGAGCACCCTCATTCAAGACTCCCCGGGTTCTGAAGCGAGGCAGCAGGGGGTTTATAACAAGTATGAGGGGGGCAAGGTGTAAGGACGCAGGATTTACCTCACTTGCTTCAACAAAATGTGATGCAGCAATAAATTGCAGATTGAAGCAAGCTGGGGAGGTGATGAGGAGAAACACTAATCTCACAGAAAATGCTGTGATAAGCTGTTAGCCCCCCTCGTATCCAGAATGTGCTGCAAGCAACATGAAAGGTAAATCTTTTCATTTGGTATTTGCAGGGAGTGACTGATGAAGGCGCGGGAAGCACTGCTGACAGCCTTTTCCCCTCAGAAACACCCAGCCATATTATAAGGCACCTGTTTGAGCCTTAAACATGTTTAGATCTTTTTGTTCTTTGGTTGCATTTCATACTTTGTTGTTTATGAAAAGCAAACTAACACAACTCAAATTGCTGATTTGTTAAAGATCCTCAAAAATAATAAAAAAAAGGACACTTGTGTTTATAGCCCTTTCCATAAATAACACAAACCTCTGATGTCATTTTTAATTTCAAGATGGAAGAGGAAAAACACTTTTTTTTTTTATGAAACAAACTGGAAATAAAGCAGCCAAGTTCATGCATTTGGGATAATGAGGCATTAAATGGCATCTTGTTCGGTGAGCTTGGGTTTGGATGGGCAGGTGTCATGCTCAAGCCATTTGCAGCCTCTACATGTATCCTCTGTGGACGGGCAGCCACAGCATCTCCATGCACTAAAACAAAGCAGCATAGCATTCTTATCTCCGGACTATAGCATCAGAAAGGACATGCAGGAGAATTCACCGCGGTTCTCTTTCTTGGTGCGCAGATTCATGAATTTTATCCAGTTTGTCTCTTCTTTTAAGTTGCCTTCCGGTCCTCCTCTATTTCTCCCTCCTATCTGTCCTTCAGTTATTTGACTAATCTGCGCTGCTGCTGCTGCTGAAGCTGCAGTGTCATCTCATCACGACTGGCTGTGCCGGTCTCTTCCCTCAGTCTCTCATATTTCACCATATTTCTCCAGAGCTGGGATGAGTGGGCTGCAGCTGAGCATTGCAGCGCATACTAAAGGCTCTCGCGCGCCTCGCCCCATCCCTCTCTTCCTCCTCTCTCATCGTGGGTTTCACATTAAAGAGGAAGAGTCTCTGTTCACCACAACCTCCCCTGAGAGATTTCACGTTAAACAGAAACCGATCAAAATATTTATCAGATTGGTTAGTTTTGTTTTCAGATGTTCTAAATATAGTGGGATGCAATCAGTGCATCAAAACAGTAGGATGGATGTCCTTTAAATTTTCTGTAACTTGCACATTATCACCCGTCGCTGGAAGACGAAGCGGACGATAATGTTTTTTAAAAATGTTTATTTGTTTTGTTTATCTGCGTGTGTAACTGTTAGCAAAATATTGCATGCAGGGCCGGCCCAAGGCATAAGCAAACTAAGCTGCTGCTTAGAGCCCCGGGGCCACTAGGGGGCCCCCCAAGTGGAATTGATTATTACTTTATGGGATTTCTATGATTCTATTTAACATTTTAAGTTCAGCTTTTGCAAATTGTTGCATACATTTACATAGTTTTAAGAACTAATTATTCAACTTTAAATTTCTTTCTTAAACCTTTTTTATGTGGTTTCAAGTAATTGTTCATTTACATAATTAAATATTTCTTTGATTTTATTATTTTATTTTACAAATTGTATTTAATTTGCTCTGTTTTTGCTCTATTTATTATTATTATTATTTGCATCTAAGTTATTTTATCTGTTGTTTGTTGTTGATCTTGCATTACAAATTATTTTGAACATTACTGCTGCTGTTCTTTGGAACCAAAGATAATAAACCAGATTACACTTTTGCTGTAAAATACACACAACTGGCTTTAAGCATTAACCTTTAATTTAATCATTAAGCACACAATGTGATTATGATAGAAAATGGAGAATTTACTTGTAGTTACTTTCGTACAGATGAACATGCAGTACTTTCTGTTTATCACGGTTGTGTGCAGTTGCTCATGAGGTCGGCCGCAGGGCTTTATCATCTTTTACACTTCTTTCAGACTCAGTTTAGGTTTTGGAAACGGAATAAACTATTTCACCCTCTAAAGCAGAGCTGTTCAACTAAACTGCTCAGGGGACCACAGTGACTAAAAGCCAGCAGCTCAGGGGCCGGACATCCAGCAATTAAAGTCTTTATGTAAATAAACCAAGTATTATAATGATGTGTTACCTTTTGAATTTGTTTGTTTTGTTGCATTGAATCATAAATGCAATAAACAGAACCCAAACCCAGAACTGCCCCAATTTTTAAAAATTTTTTTTTTCAGCGGTGCTTAGTTAAAATTTAGGGGTACTTGAGCACCCCCAAAAAGAGCTAAAATCACCACTGGTGATGGTACATGAGACAGATTCCAAACATATTCTGAGCACTTACAGACCTTGTTAAAATGTTTGCCTAATTGTCTGTTAGAAAAAAAATCTCATGAACTAGACTGGCTTTGATAAAAAAAACTACTGGAAGTATGGCGGCTATAATATGGCTATAACTCAGCCAATTTTACAAATATTGAGACACAATTTGAGTGATCCACACACAGCACAGTGTTAAACCTCATGAGACTGCAATAAATAGATCAAGAGTAACGTAAAATTTTACGTTGGAACAAAGTGGTTACCAAGTCATCGTTTTTTTAATCTTTGTTTAAAAGTCTGTCATGAAAGGGGCAATATGCATTCTTATTGTGTTTCACGTCATCAAATATTTAAAGTAAAATATGTGTCACACTGGTTTCATGAACACAAGTTTATTGCAGTAATAATTTATGAAACTTCATATAACATCTACAACCCATTTATTAGACATTAACACTTTTTGTTTGAGTCTCCCAAGACATTCTTGTAAAAGAGATTAAAAATCTCAATGAATTTAATTCCTGGTAAAACAAAGGTTTAAATAAATAATAATAGTATTTAGTCACATGAACTGCTGTGCAAAGTTTATCCCTAACTCTGTTTTCTTCAGTTCTTAAAAGTAGGCCAGGTGAAAACCCAGAACTGTCTCCAAACAGGCAGAGAGCAAGAACTACACATAAAAGGATACGTTTCCTCAACTCCCCAGGTAATCCTCCCCTGTTTGTTTATGCTGCTCAGGTTCAACACAATGTGAATTCTTCACTTGTCCATGTGTCCAAATACTGATTAAGATGGAGATGCTGGGCCTCTGGGACAGCAGCTGAAGCTCATTATGCCGAGCCAATTTTTCTGAAGGTCTCCATAAGAAGCTATTGACACTTTTACATCAACAAGCTGATTAATGACCAAAAACGTTTATATCCTCATCGACTTTGGATAAAGAAGGTTCTTTGTGATGTTCTGTGAAGGTGACATCCAAGCCAGAAACATCCATTGCCTTGTGGCGGAAGTGTAATAATTTGTCAGCATAGTCATGGTTACACAAGTTGGCTTGTGACACTGGGAAGAGAATTAAGAAAAATGAGATTGTGTTTGCTGTGATTGAGACAGGATTGCATTTTGTCGTCTTTGGACTAATTTATTTAAATGGAGCAAATATTTACGTAAATACTAGGGGCCCCGATTTTCTTAATTTTGGGAAATCGGACGATACTTGCTTGAGAAACCGATTTTACAGATTTTTTTTTTTTGTTTTAACAACAATTGTCTTAACTTCATTTATATTTCAGAGCACTACCTCATGGCCAGTTAAGACAAGTTTGTATTGTAGGTTATTGTTCAAGGGCATGTTTTTCAACAAAATAACATTGGATAACTGAGGGTGCATTGTGACCTTATAACACCTGACAGTGTTTCTCATAAAACAACATCGGTATCGGTCGAAATCAAAATTGGCTGATCAGACTTTTTAGACATGGGCGATCAGTGATTGACCAGAAAACTGCAATCGATGCACCCCTAAAAATTATCAACATTTTCACATTTCATGATCTTTGAGTGGACGAGCAAATCATTGTTATTTAAATAAAACAAATACTTTAAAAGCAAATGGCAGCAGGTTTAGGAGGTAAACACAGACATCCCTCTCCCTAGCAAAACACTCCAGCTTTTACTGGGAAATCCCACGGTGTTCGCAGACCAGAGAGGATA